AATACTATCAAATGTTCTTTGAAAAAAAAGAAGAATCTGTTAATAAATACTTACTCCCACCGTGTGAGGTAGGAATGGATCATGAAATGCTCAAGGCTTCCTGACTGGCAGTCTATCTAATATGTATTGTCAGAAGTTGACTTAATAATTTTCTGAGATCATCCAATACCTTTCTCATTTAACACAAAATAGCAAGCAAGTCACTTTCTTGAGGAGAAACGTTTTTTATCTTTAGTAGTTATTTTACAACTAGGTGGGATAAATTTGCTCAGAACTCCTACAGGGTATGAATCATTTGCATTCATACATTGACCTCTTCTCACTTTGCTCTTTCTGAGAAGAGTTTTAATACAGCCTGTATTATGTAACATAGATGATACCTTGTCATCGGTAATTTCAGTGTCATTCTCAAATCAGCTTGCAGAATCTATGATGAACCTGAGAACTTAAGTTGCTATCGTGAACATCTAATGCACAATCAAATAAGCAAACAAACCATAGAATAAATCTAAGAAAATGTTATTAGTCTTTTGTTTAAGCTGTTTGAGGTCTTTGACTGTTGGAGTAGAACATGGAATAGGTAACAAAGCCCCGATGGCAACACCTAAGCCTGAAATCATTGACCTGTCTAAAAATTGTTTGAACTTTCACAACTGCTGTCCTCCATTCTTCATTTGTTTGTTTAAATTACTTTTTTTTGAAAAAAAGAATTATTTTAAACAGGTGTCTACTTGTTAGTCTGTGCATTTAGTTGACATTTTTAGAATTAGTCAGAAAGGCTAACAGTTTGTGAATATATTGTTTTTTTGTTTTTTTTTGTTTTTTTTGCGGTACGTAGGCCTCTCACTGTTGTGGCCTCTCCTGTTGCGGAGCACAGACTCCGGACGCACAGGCCCAGGGGCCATGGCTCACGGGCCCAGCCGCTCCGTGGCATGTGGGATCTTCCCGGACCGGGGCACGAACCCGTGTCCCCTGCATCGGCAGGTGGACTCTCAACCACTGCGCCACCAGGGAAGCCCTGTAAATATATTGGATTGCTTGTAGGAAAGTAATTCTTGGTAAATAAACATGAATTATAAGAAGCAGTTGATACTGGTGCTGATAGATTCTGAATTGTCCATCTTTACTAAGAATATGTGTCAGAAGGGATTGGGGGGAGATATGGCCATATTCTATGTTAATTCATAAGATAGATGAGTGGTGTTCTTCGATTCTGGAACCTGTCAAGAAAAGAGATTTCAAGGTATACATTCAAATTGGGGAAAATAATTTTTTGGAAAGATAAAATAAGCTTTCAGTATAAGTTGATCACGAACCCATCTATGTTCATTGTCTCTCAGTCTGCCATCAGACCAGCTTCACTATGAAACTTAAAAATGAAAAAGTATTGAAATCATAAAACTCCTAAAAGAAAACATACGCAGAACACTCTTTGACATAAATCATAGCAATATTTTTTTGATCTGTCTCCTAAAGCAGAGGAAATAAAAGCAAAACTAAATGGGACCTAATTAAACTTAAATGCTTTTGCACAGCAAAACAAACCATTGACAAAGCAAAAAGACAAACTACTGAATGAGGGAAAATATTTGCTAATGATATGACTGATAAGGGGTTAATATCCAGAATATATAAGCAGGGAGAGGGTGTGGAGAAAAGGGAACCCTCTTGCACTGTTGGTGGGAATGTAAATTGATACAGCCACTATGGAGAACAGTATGGAGGTTCCTTAAAAAACTAAAAACAGGACTTCCCTGGTGGCACAGTGGTTAAGAGTCCGCCTGCCAACACAGGGGACACGGGTTCGAGTCCTGGTCCGGGAAGATCCCACATGCCGTGCAGCAACTAAGCCCACGCGCCACAACTACTGAGCCTGCACTCTAGAGCCCGCGAGCCACAACTGCTGAGCCCGCATGCCTCAACTACTGAAGCCCGCGTGCTTCTCTGCAACAAGAGAAGCCACCGCAGTAAGCCCGCGCACTGCAACGAAGAGTAGCACCCGCTCGCCGCAACTAGAGAAAGCCCACACGCAGCAATGATGACCCAATGCAGCCAAAAAGAAAAAAAACTAAAAACTAAAAATAGAACTACCATGTGACCTAGTAATCCCACTACTGGGCATATACCCTGAGAAAACCATAATTCAAAAAGAGACATGTAGCACAACGTTCGTTGCAGCACTATTTACAATAGCCAGGACATGGAAGCAACCTAAGTGTCCATCGACAGATGAATGGATAAAGAAGGTGTGGCACATATATACAATGGAATATTACTCGGCCATAAAAAGAAACGAAACTGAGTTATTTGTAGTGAGGTGGCTGTACCTAGAGTCTGTCATACAGAGTGAAGTAAGTCAGAAAGAGGAAAACAAATACCGTATGCTAACACATATATATGGAATCTAAAAAAAAAAAAGGTTATGAAGAACCTAGGGGCAGGACAGAAATAAAGATGCAGACGTAGAGAATGGACTTGAGAACACAGGGAGGGAGAAGGGTAAGCTGGGACGAAGTGAGAGAGTGGCATGGACTTATATATACTACCAAATGTAAAATAGATAGCTAGTGGGAAGCAGCCACATAGCACAGGGAGATCAGCTGGGTGCTCTGTGACCACCTAGAGGGGTGGGATAGGGAGGGTGGGAGGGAGGCGCAAGAGGGAGGGGATATGGGGGCATATATGTATAGCTGATTCACTTTGTTATACAGCAGAAACTAACACACCATTGTAAAGCAATTGTACTCCAATAAAGATGTTAAAAAAAATTAAAATTTTTAAAAAAGGTAATTAAAAAAAAGAGAGAGACAGACATGTACTACAATGTTCATTGCAGCACTGTTTACAATAGCCAGGACATGGAAGCAACCTAAGTGTCCATCGACAGATGAACGGATAAAGAAGATGTGGCACATATATACAATGGAATATTACTCGGCCATAAAAAGAAACGAAACTGAGTTATTTGTAGTGAGGTGGATGTACCTAGAGTCTGTCATACAGAGTGAAGTAAGTCAGAAAGAGAAAAACAAATACTGTATGCTAACACATATATGTGGAATCTCAAAAAAAATGGTTCTGATGAACCTAGGGGCATGACAGGCGGAATAAAGATGCAGATGTAGAGAATGGACTGGAGGACACAGGGAGGGGGAAGGGTAAGCTGGGATGAAGTGAAAGAGTAGCACTGACATACATACACTACCAAATGTAAAATAGATAGCTAGTGGGAAGCAGCTGCATAGCACAGGGAGATGAGCTCAGTGCTTTGTGACCACCTAGAGGGGTGGGATAGGGAGGGTGGGAGGGAGGCGCAAGAGGGAGGGGATATGGGGACATATATGTATAGCTGATTCACTTTGTTATACAGCAGAAACTAACACAACATTGTAAAGCAATTATACTACAATAAAGATGTTAAAAAATTTTTAAAAATAAAAAACAAAAACAAAATATATAAGCAGCTCATACAAATCAACCTCAAAAAAATTTTTTAAATGATCCAATTGAAAAATGGGCAGAAGACCTGAATAGACATTTCTCCAAAGAAGACATACAGATGGCCAACAGGCACATGAAAAGATGCTCAACATCATTAATCATCAGAGAAATGCAAATTAAAACCACAGTGAGACATCACCTCACACCTATCAGAATGGCTATCATCAAAAAGTCCACAAGTAACAAATGTTGGCAAGGATGAGGAGAAAAGGGAGCCCTCGTACACCGTTGGTGGCAATGTAAATTGGTACAGCCATTATGAAAAACAGTATGGAGGTTTCTCAAAAAATTAAAAATAGAACTACCCTATGACCCAGCAATTCCACTCTTGGGTATTTATCTGAAAAAAGAAAAAAAAGACCAACACAAATTCGAAAAGATACATGCACCCCAATGGCAGCGTTATTTACAATTGCCAAGATATGGAAACAACCTTAAATATCCATCAACAGATGAATGGATTAAAAAGATACGGTATATATATACAATGGAATACTACTCAGCCATAAAAAAATGATATTTTTCCATTTGCAGCAACATGGATGAACCTGGAGGGTATTATGCTCAGTGAAATAAGTCAGACAGAGAAAAAAAAAATACTGGATGATATCACTTATATGTGGAATCTAAAAAATAAAACAAGCTAGTGAATATAATAAAAAAGAAACAGACACACAGAAATAGAGAACAAATTAGCAGTTACCAGTGGGGCAAGGGAAGGAGTAAGGGACAGGATAGGGGTAGGGGATTAAGAGGTACAAACTACTATGTATAAAATAAATAAGTTACAAGGATATATAGTACAACAGAGGGAACTATAGCCAATATTTTATAACTATAAATGGAATATAACCATTAAAAATTGTGAATCACTGTGTTGTACACCTGAAACTTATATAATGTACATCAACTAAACTGCAATTTTAAAAAAGTATACTTGCTTTAGTTTTTGCTGTTGTACTTTATTTTACAAATGTTCTATCCTTTAAACAAATTCTATTTTCTCTAAATATATCAAATCATCAAAAGGAAATAGTTTTGTACCCTTATTTATGAAACTTACTGGGACAAACTGCTCCTAAAGCAGCTTAAACTATGACTGAATACATGCTAGAAATTCAGACTGGACTTCCCTGGAAGTCCAATGGTTAAGACTCCACACTTCCACTGCAGGGGGCACAGGTTTGAACCCTGATCGAGGAACTAAGATCCTGCATGCCATGCAGTGTGGCCAAAAAAAAAATTCAGGCTAAGTATGATATTTTCCCCTACTTTTTCAGGAGATAAATGATATGAGTTTTTAGAATCTCAAGAAACAATTTACTTTCTCACACAGAATGTTTTAAAGTTTGTTAGGTGTGCTCGTGCATGTGTTATTTGTTATATGTGTGTTCTTTCCTCTGCATCGTATGAAGTGGTGGGGGTACCACACAGTGTTACCCCACTGGGACTGATGCATGTCTTAACTTACTTATATCTCTTCCTATTTCCTTACCCAGGTATGCTGTTATTGCCTATGGCTGTGCCAGCTGCCCAAAGCTGACCTGTGAGAGGGAAGGCTGCCAGACTGAGTTCTGTTACCACTGCAAGCAAATATGGCATCCAAATCAGACATGCGATATGGCCCGTCAGCAGAGGGCGCAGACATTGCGAGTTCGGACCAAGCACACTTCAGGTCTCAGTTATGGGCAAGAATCTGGACCAGGTATGAGTTGGCATTGTCTCATTTGTCTCTTTATTGATATTTCATAATGTGCGCCCAAAGCTGGGAGAGATTACCTTCCTGTATAACTCAAGGATTAGAGAGCAGAGACTATTTGTTTTTTGTTTGTTTGTTTTTATAAATTTATTTTTATTTATATTATTTATTTTTGGCTGCATTAGGTCTTCATTGCTGCACTCAGGCTTTCTCTAGTTGCGGCGAGCGGGGGCTACTCTTCGTTGCGGTGCACGGCCTTCTCATTTCAGTGGCTTCTCTTGTTGTGGAGCACAGGCTCTAGGCACGTGGGCTTCAGTAGTTATGGCACACGGGCTCAGTAGTTGTGGCTCACGGGTTCTAGAGCACAGGCTCAGTATTTGTGGTGCACAGGCTTAGTTGCTCCGCGGCATGTGGGATCTTCCCGTACCAGGGCTTGAACCTGTGTCCTCTGCACTGGCAGGCGGATTCTTAACCACTGCGCCACCAGGGAAGTCCCAAGTGCAGAAACTATTTGGTAATATTTTCAACACTGTATTTGGTATGTAGCTTCTCTCTCTGACCATTTATAGGTTGTCCAACCCAGGTGAAATTGGAATAAAGCAAAACTGAATTCTGTACTTTCTACCTCCTTAGTAATGTGTCTCAGATTGGAGAGCAGTTGGGTCCTTTAGCTAGGGGTTTTTTCAGAACTTTCACTGTGAGCAGAAAGACGTTTAGTATTAAAACTGTACTGTTTTCCTACTAGCTTTAAATACATCACTGGTTTTGGAAATAGGGTACAGATTTAAGGAAAGGAAATAATATTAGTATGGATTAATGATTAACCTTAAAAGGAGGAATATCACACATTCAGTTCCAACCTTGACATGTCAGAGTGAACCTCTTTTAAAATGTCAGTGGGTTTATTGCCTTTTATAAGTGTGCTTTATATCACTGATGTCATTTGAGAGAAGCTAGTAGGAAAGATTTTACCATTCACTTTTTCCTGGCACAGTGTAATCTCCTAAATTCTCTTTGTAATAGGATAGTTCTAGCTTGCTGTGAAAATTACCAGGTGTATGCTATATAGCATACTCAATTGTTTGTAGGTTTTGAATTTTAAAGTATCATGGGAAGGGACTGTGAATTATGTTAACAGCAAATCACAGTGATACTTGTACCTGAGAAATGAGTTTAAAGCCAAATGCAGGCTGCAGACTATTCTTCCTGTAGGACTGTGCTTTTAATTCTGCCAGCCTATTGGCTGCTGAAATTCCATTTTTCTTGGAACCATCTTTCTCTCTAGGGAAGTCTCCTTGCTCAGAGTGTGGCTCTAGTGCTGTGTAAGATGCCAGATTGGGGGATAGGCAGCTCAGTATGAGACAGGATCCATTTTATGAAATTTCCTGAGGTCTAGACATAGCCAGCCTTCCAGTGAAGTGGGTTGCACAATTTGGAATCCTCAGTCAAGAATTCTTGACTGCCTCTTCATTTCTTGTGCATACTCCTAGGAATAATAAAATCAAACGAGGTTTAACTAGGGATATTTTTCTACCCATTCTTTCTCCCCCACTTAGCAGATGACATCAAGCCATGCCCACGATGCAGTGCTTACATTATCAAGATGAATGATGGAAGCTGTAATCATATGACCTGTGCAGTGTGTGGCTGTGAATTCTGTTGGCTTTGTATGAAGGAGATCTCAGACTTGCATTACCTCAGGTGAGATGAGAAAATGTCTATTGTTTTTATAGTCTTGTTCTCTTACTGATGTAGGGAAAAGGATGTCAAAGAAACATCGTTGTCTGTCCTCTCATTACAGCATAAGGAAGCTTATGCTGTAAAAAAGTTCCTCTGAAACACCCTTCCAATCATGTTTTTCTCCAGCTCAGCAACTTCCAGTGACTGTTTTCCATTACCTTCCAGATATAGTTCAGTTTCCCTAGCATGGCTTTTAAGGTTTTCTGCAGTCTGGCCCCAATATACCTTTTTCCATTTTGCTTTCATAAATGCTATGTTCCAGATTATCTGTGTCTCTTCTGTGTTATCTTACCTCCATACTTCTTCATGTTCTTTCCTTCACCTGGAATGCTTTATAATCACCTCACCCCCCAGCAACCCCCTTTTATCTCAACTGTTCAGTTCTTATTCAGCCTTCAAGGGCCACTTTAAATGCCATTCCATCTCTGATGCCTTCCCCCAGTTTTTTCTGCCTCATTCTTCTTTACTGACATTCTTTAAATGTTCTATAAACGTTATCATGACTTTTACTTCATTTACGTGTCTAATTTTGTTAAACTATATTAAGAGTCTTCAGGCCAGTATTACCTTTTTACAGTTCCTTGGATGTAGTAGTCATTAAAATATTGTCCTGAAGGAGTTAATATTTACAAACTTAACATTCATCGTGTGGATGAAACATTTTCATTTCCAATTTAGCAAACATTTGATTACTTACAGTATACCAATTATTGGGGACACAGGGGTGCGTAAGACATGATCCCTACTTTCAAAATTACTTTTATCTAGTAGAGAAGACAGTACAAAGGGAGTGGACAAAAGTGGTTGGACTCAGAAGGGCTGAGTGTAAAAGTAGCCAAACTCAGAGTATGAAACTGTCATAAAGGGTATGATGAAGTCTTTTTATATCCTATCCCAGGAAGATGGTTTGCAGTATCTACATATGCCAAGAAAACTATGCAAATCAGAGAGAGTTCATTAGCTGCAGGACACAGTATGTATGGATGAGATGTCAAGTGCATAGACTATGCAGGATCCCACGTAGTATCACTCAAAGAAGTAGGTTCAGTTTGGTGGGTTAGAGAGGACAGAGTGCAGCAGAAAAGAATGGAAAAGAGGTTTCGTTTCAAGTCTGGAGGCCTGCCTTTACGAAAAGAGAAAAAAAAAGTAAAGAGCCAGAACTCTAATAGTCTGGCCTTGTCCTTTGCTCCCCCTCATGTAATAAATTCATTTCTTGTAACCTCTTGTAACTGTTAATCACTCCTATAGAAAAGAAGGCTCTTGCTCTTATCAAGCTCTCTGATGACAATAGCTGCATTTGTAATATTGACATTAACTTCAGCATGTTTCCTCTGTAGCCCCTCTGGCTGTACATTCTGGGGCAAGAAACCATGGAGCCGTAAGAAGAAAATTCTTTGGCAGCTGGGCACATTGATTGGTGCTCCGGTGGGGATATCCCTCATTGCTGGCATTGCCATTCCTGCCATGGTCATTGGCATTCCTGTTTATGTTGGCAGGAAGGTAAGATATGTTGAGTTCTGTGCATGTTCCATCTTCAGGTTTGTTGGTAAAGGTTTGAAGGAAATGGGGAGGAGCTTATGTTTCAGAGCTGCCTGAAAACCAGCTGGTTCTTAAATAAAACTAATTTCTTAAGTGGATTTTCATAAATCCCCAAGAGATCTGAAAGTTCTTATTAACATCCTGGGCCTGGTTTGTCTCAGTGACTTAAAGGTAAAATGCTTACTTCACTCCCCTGAGTTACTTTGTCTCTTCTTACATTAACTTTTTCTGTATTAGTTTATATCATCCTGGTCTGAGTTAGATTAAAATGTGAGAAAGATGTCTCTTTGACATGGGGGAATATGTTTTAATATAGATAAATTAAAAGGGAATATTCACTTATCCTTTTTCTCCCTAGCAAAAAGATTGATGTCCTAACCTGCTGACCTGAATTTTCTTTCTTATTCTTAGATTCATAGCAGGTATGAGGGAAGGAAAACCTCCAAACATAAGAGGAATTTGGCTATCACAGGAGGAGTGACTCTGTCGGTCATTGCATCCCCAGTTATTGCTGCAGTTAGTGTTGGTAAGAAGCTAGCCAGGACCATGACTCCTCCCCTTACACGACCCACTCCCATTAGCTTTCTGGCCTCGCAGTTTAGCCAGCCGGCCAGATGTTTCACCCTGGATGCTCCTACATTTTATGTCAGACCCACCTTGGGAGTTTATTAGGCACTATTATTATTATCAGCCACACTAAAGTATCAGGGTTTGGGATCTTTCATTCGTAAGTTAGTGCCTAGAACTCCATCTGGCACATTAAAAAGATTGAATTAAAAAATATTACTTTAAGGCCTAGTTTTTCACCTTTCCTCTTCCTTCTTCATTTGCCACAGAACCCACAAAACAAAATTACTTTTGATTTGCTTAATGCCTCACAGTATTTTGGAAGGCATGAGGGTCTGTTTTAGAATAATAATAATATAATGTTTTCTGAGACTCTCCATGTGCCAGGAGCAGGTCTGAGTGTTTTGCCTGTATTAATTTACTTAATCCTTACAGCAGCCCAGTTGTAACAGAAAGGTGCAGTAATTTGCCCAAGGTCACTTAGCTGGGACATGAATTAAGGCAGTCTGACTTCAGAGTCTGGGCTTTTAACAACTAAGCCATTCTGCCTTCCACAGCAGCAAGATTTTGGAATTAACACTCTGGGGGGATCCTAAACCCTAGGAGTCACTTATTTAATGTTTGATTATTGATTGGTTCTTGGATTAGCACTTCAGCAGTGAATGGAAGGGGGAAAATGAAAGCAACATATATTTACTGCTCTGAGCACTGTACATACATTGATCATTGGCAACCCTAGGAAGATATGTCCAAGGTTATTACAGCTGGTAAATTGGAGACAGGATTCTAATCCAGGCCTTTCTGATTCCAAGTCCAGTCATCATTCTGTTGGACCAGTCCACCTCTTTAGCATAGCTATCTTCTGTCTTTCCTTGGCCCTTTATAAAGTGGTTTGTCTGTGTTCAGCCCTGGGAAGGAGAATTCAGGGCAGCTGCAACCTGATGGCCTGCTGACATGTTTCCTTATCTTCCCCAGGTATTGGTGTCCCTATTATGCTGGCTTATGTTTATGGGGTTGTGCCCATTTCTCTCTGTCGTGGAGGTGGCTGTGGAGTTAGTACAGCCAATGGAAAGGGAGTGAAAATTGAGTTTGATGAAGATGATGGCCCAATCACAGGTAAAAGGAGAATTTTAATTTCCCTTTGAATTTTTGGAACACAAGATAAAAGTCAGTAAAATTCAGCACATTTTACAGAGAGATTGACATTGGATTACATTGGCTAATGAGCTTTATAGGAGGTAAAGTATTTTTAGCTTTTCATTTCTTTTTTCCAGAGTTATTAGGTTAATTCCCCTGGTACTTGCCTCTGTGTGGCAAAGTACAAACTAGTAGGACTCCAAGTAACTCTAAGTATGCTGGTAATAGTAAATTACATAATTATAATAAAGTCTTATATCTGCATTGTACTTTATAATTTTCAGAAGACTTACACAGTTGTTATTTTCACTTGGCTTTTACAACAGCTCTGAAGAGAGAGGGCCAGGGCTGTTATTATCCCCAATTAAAGGGAACTTATTTAAGCCTTTGTCTCAACATCTGTTAAAGGGGTTTAAGAGCTTCTGCAGAGCTGGAACTATAGCAAGTCTTCTGACTTATACTTTGATGTTGTTTTCACTTTACCATATTAACTAACCTGGGACACAGAGATCCCCAAAGGTCTTTCAAACTTCCTACTAGAGTCAGCACACGACCTAAGTGTATCTTGAAATTCTCATGTTTAATTAGATGACATCTATAGTGTAATGGAAAGAATAGGAGACTTAGAATCAGATTGTAGTTTTGTGTGACTAGCCACAGACAAGGCATTTAGTTCTAAGCTTTTGTTTCCTCACCTAAAATTGGGGCTATTAGTTCCTAGTTACTGGGAAGATTACATGTGAGCATATGTTAAAACACCGGATATGTGGTAGCTGCCTGTAGTAGCTATTCATTAAGTGAATAAATGAGTATTTTTCTACATGAATATTCTCTGCTCTGAAGAGTCATTGCAGGAAAATGCCAGACTCTGTTTTGATGCTGTGCTATCATCAATTGAGATGTTTGGTTCCATCCCCAGTGGCAGATGCCTGGCGAGCCCTCAAGAATCCCAGCATTGGGGAAAGTAGCATTGAAGGTCTAACTAGCGTATTGAGCACCAGTGGAAGCCCTACAGATGGACTCAGTGTTATGCAAGGTCCATACAGCGAAACAGCCAGCTTTGCAGCCCTCTCAGGGGGCACGCTGAGTGGCGGCATTCTTTCCAGTGGCAAGGGAAAGTACAGCAGGTAAGCAATTTCTGACAGAACCAGTTGGAATTATAAGAAGTAACATATCATATTGAGCCATTTCTCTGTGCCAGGCATATCTCATATAGCATATCATTTTGATATAATCATCAATGGTGTTTTTTTGTTTTGTTTTGTTTTAACTTTTACAATTAGAAAATAGGCTAGAAAGGTTAAGCAACTTAAAAGTTCTGTGTTTTTTCCCACTGCACCATAGTGGCTCCATATAAAGAATATTTTTTTTTTTTTAAACACAATAATCCTGTGTTCCTGGCCAATCTCTCTCTCTGTTTTTTGTTTTTTTTTTAAATATTTATTTATTTATTTTGGCTGCACCAGGTCTTAGCTGCAGCACACAGGATCTTTAGTTGCAGCATGTGAACTCTTAGTTGCGGCATGCATGTGGGATCTAGTTCCCTGACCAGGGATCGAACCTGGGCCCCCTGCATTGGGAGCACAGAGTCTTAGCCACTGGACCACTAGGGGAGTCCCAATAAAGGATAATCTTGACTTCAGATCCTCCCTCTACTACGTTAGGCTGCCTCCATCAGGAAGGGGAAGCATGCATTTTTGTAGAATTCCCAAGACTGTGTCCTCCATTAGGCTTATCACTGGCTTTCAGTTGAACAGCATTTATACTATATCTTGTGGCTTATTGGTGCTGTGATCCTTAAAACCTTCCTATTCTGATTCCCATTTGATAGATGAGGTAAATCAATTCTATAAACTTGTGTTGAGAATATGTAAAGCTTTATGACTAAAAAGGTTATGACTTGGTTGGTCGTTTTACCAGTTAGAAAAAACAGAACATATTCAGAGGAGCATAGCAGATGTTACATGAGAAGCAGTTATTTGAACGCACTGGAGAAGAGAGCCCTGGGGAGGGGTAAAGGTGGTACAAAACAAGGTAGGGAGGTAGGGGAGATGCTTGCCTTCAGATATCTGAAGGGCCTTGAACTGGAAAAAAGCATTAAGAGTTCTGCCTCATGCCAAGAGATAGATTAAGACGATTTGGCAGAAGCTAGAGGGAAACTAATTTTGTTTCATTATAGAGACTATAGGAAAAATCTATATAAAGTCCAAAGAAGGGATGGATTACGTCTATCCCTGGAAGTGTTTATAAAGTGAGACCAGAGGGCCATTTGGCTCTTAGAAGGAGTCAAGCAACAGATGGCAGATGGACTGGATCCCACACCAGTGCTTGTCAGTTACCTGGGAGCCTTTTCAAAATAGATGTCAGCACCCTATCCCAGAATTAATAAATTAAAATCTCCCAGATTCTCTCCTACTCTCCTAGGGATCTGTGTTTTGAAAAGGTTCCCCAGGTGATTTTAGCATACCCATTGCACAGACTAGCATCTGCGAACCACCTAAGGTGATAGATGGCCTTTGTGAAAGGCCTCTTCCAATTCTAACTGTGATTCTATGGCAGAGCTGAAACTAGGACCCAGGTCTCTGACTCAATGTACTTTCCATTGCACTGCCTCATTTTCCTGAGCCATGGCACATTTTTGAAGGGCATCTAAGGCTGGAGCAGCAGAGCAAAGACTCAGGCAGCAGGATGGAGGTTGATTGAATGTGCAGCTGCAGGCTGCTGCTGACCTGTCTGCGTTTCATGACTCTGGTTGTCTCTTGTTAGGGGATCCTGCCCGCACATGCTGGAGAATTCACTGTTGTGCTTTCTTAAAACCAACACCCCTGTAAATAAGCAGACATAATTGGATACTGACTTGCTGAAACTGCAACTTAGGCAGTCCAGCTGTTCCAGTACTGTGAAGGCCTTTTATAGGAAGTAAATGAGTCAGATGGGTTTGACTGTGAAACCCATTATGAGGAAATACTTAAGTATGCAACCAAGTGATGTTGGAGTCAAGAAAGGAAAAGCTGTGGGTCCTCTGAGACACCATTGGGAAAGTTTGCTGCTCTTGTCAGAGGTTGACTCTTATTATGTCCTTTAAGCTCATAGGCTGGGGGTAATTTGATTGCTAAATGTTTAAGTTCCTAGTATGTGCAAGACATGGAGGGTAAAGCGTGAATGAGGTGTGGTCTCTCCTTTTTTGGAGCTCACAGATGACTGGGAAAGAGATGCATAAATTGATTTAATAAATAGGTAGGTGCTGTGGGAGCACTTAGCAGGAAGTGACTGGTTTGATAGAAGAATGAAGGGAGATGATACTTCCTTTGTTGTTAAGGACTGAGTATGAGTTTGTCACATAGAGAAAGGAAACTTCCAGAGAGAGGGACTAGCATATGCAAAGTCATAGAGGTATAAAATGTGTATAGGTGCATAAGGAAAGAAAAAAATTCAGTGTGATTATGATTTAGGACCTATGGTGAGAGATGGAACTGGAGAGAGAGCTTGGAGGCAAATCAGTAGACCTTAAATGCCTGTTGGCAAGAGGGAGCCAAGAGAGGGCTGTTAGAGTGATCAGGTTTTTGTCCACGTTGGCACTGATCTGGAAGTTGTTTGACTTGGACTTAGGGCTACTGGAAAGAGAGCCCAATTGCAGTTACCCACTCGGGAGCTGTTGAGGGCCTGAAGTTAAACAGTAGCAGTGGGGATGGAAAGGAGGGGACGATTTCAGTAGATAAATTTAAGAGAGAAGATGTGTGGGCATCTGTTTGAGCTATTTGACATTTGGAGAAGATCAGATCAACTCAATTTGCAAGAGAATAATGGAAGAGGTATGTGCCAGGAAGCAGACTGTCTCGGAATACCCAGGTCTCGCATTAACTTAAACGTCCCCTCTTTACACAGGTTAGAAGTCCAAGCCGATGTCCAAAAGGAAATTTTCCCCAAAGACACAGCCAGTCTTGGTGCAATTAGTGACAACGCAAGCACTCGTGCTATGGCCGGTTCCATAATCAGTTCCTACAACCCACAGGACAGGTATGTGAACAGTCAGAAGCCTAGGAGAGGTTGCATTTTTTTGGTTGGGTTTTGGCCTTAGAAGCTCAATGCCTCATGTTAGGGCTCTGTGTACCACCTAGTGTGATACATAGTGTGTATACCCTGTGAATTCATCCAGCAAGTTCTTGGTATGGGAGTATTTGGCATCTCTTGATTGATTTTTCTTGTTAGCACTTGATTTTTAGAGGTTCTTTCTTCCTTTTCTATTTCCTTTTTTTTCCTTTTCTTTTCTTGGCTATTGCAACAGTGTAATTATTCACGTGGAACTGAAGAGCTAGATTGGTGTCCATTGATGTATGTATGTAGCTCTATGGTTTCTGCTCTCATGTTGCTCTTTGCTTGATGTGGCTCCTGTTGCCTATTTCTCTTTATATTTGAGAAGCTAGTGTATCTGGTATGGTGTGACTGCAGCACTCCCTACTGGAGAGATTCTGGTTTCTTCTAATTGTGGCAGAGAAGTAAAAAGCTGTGACTCTTCTTTCACTTTCATATTTTGAGTAAGATAGTGTGAGGCTCCGAACCTTAGTTGAATTTTGGAAGCTCATTTTTAGTTGTTTAAAGAAATTGGCAGAATAACTAATAAGGACCTACTGTATAGCACAGGGAACTCTTCTCAATACTCTGTAATGACCTATATGGGAAAAGAATCTAAAAAAGAGTGGATATATGTATACATATGTATAACTGATTTCATTTTGCTGTACAGCAGAAACTAACACAACATTGTAAATCAACTATACTCCAATGAAAGTTAAAATATAAAGAAATACAGAACTTGGCAGAGATGTTTGTGTTTGTGTACGTATTTTAAATCAACAAAAAGATCTAATTGTTCTTCTCCATCTTATTTGAGTATTAGATTAAATTTTATTTTCTCTAAAAGTGAGCTCTATTCTACTATTAACCTATATTTTCGGACCTTCTAATCCTGAACCCACAAACTGCTTTTACCAACAGGTATAGCATGACCCATGCATGATTCAGCAAAGTGGATTTTGTCTCCACAGAGAATGCAACAATATGGAAATCCAAGTGGACATTGAAGCCAAACCAAGCCACTATCAGCTGGTGAGTGGAAGCAGCACGGAGGACTCACTCCATGTTCACTCACAGATGGTGGAGAATGAAGAAGAAGGTGGTGGTGGCGGTGGCAGCAATGAAGAGGATCCCCCCTGCAAACACCAAAGCTGTGAACAGAAAGACTGCCAGGCCAGCAGACCTTGGGACATCAGCCTGGCCCAGCCCGAGAGCATCCGCAGTGACCTGGAGAGCTCTGATACGCAGTCCGACGATGTGCCAGACATCACCTCGGATGAGTGTGGCTCCCCTCACTCCCAAGCCGCAGCCTGCCCCTCAACACCCAGAGCCCCAGGTGCACCGAGCCCAAGTGCCCATATGAACCTCTCTGCCCCAGCTGAGGGGACGACTGTCTTGAAGCCGGAAGATGCAGAAGCCAGAGTATGAAGTGGAATAAATGCTCCTGTTCTGAGAAGCACACTTGTAACTGCATCTTTTGGAATCTTTTTGGGGGGGGCAGGGATTTACATATTTTATTTCAAAGATTCTCTGGTCACAGGTTTTCCCCAGGGAAATTCTGAGAAATTTGCAATTTCTTAACAGAGGAAACATGGAAACTTTGCCCTTGGTTCCACCCCCCATCCCCTTTGCCCACCCCCCACCCTTTTTTAGTTTTAATTTATTGGTTAAACTGATGGTGGCAATCTGTGAGGTGTGTCAAAGAGTGTACAGATGTATGTGTGTATATTGTATGTATGCTAACATATTACTGAAGGACACATTTTAATAAAGATTTCTGTCGTAATTCAACTCCTCTCATTTTCCTTGGCTTGGATAGTTCTCCAGAGCCAAGTGTTTGAAACAGACCACTACATCTTTAACAGTCTCTAGATCTAAGCTTTCCTAATCCCAGGGAAGAAGGATGGTATTCTAACCAGACTGCAGTGGAGTCATCTGTAAACCAATGACTCCTAGTATGACAGGAAGCAAAGCCAAGCTTGACTTGGACTGTGTAGTCAGACTGAAGAATTAGCTGAGTCAGCCAGATAGAGAAGCTGGAGATGAAAATGAGCCTTGTTTGCCCTCTAGAGGCAGCTGTGCAGTTTTCCTATTAAAGCTTTATTTACCCCTTTCTGCATTATAGTCACTATTAGAAACGTGCTTCAGAGGAGGGAAGGGGTATCAGTTCCAGTGGCTCTTCAGAAATCCCAGTGAATGTTGCATGGTTATAAGTTGGGGAACAGAGTATTCTTACTGGATAAAGAAATGTACCTATTCTGCATAATCACCAAGCAATATCCTAGGTGTTTGTTATGCTCCCGTGTACACATTCCCTGTTCCAAAAAACTCTCTAGTTTTGCCAGTCTAGTTTAAGTAAGAGGGACTAAGGAATCTGACTAGGATTTGTAATGAAAGGAGAGAGGAGGCATGTCATCAAAATCACAACATATTTAATTTTATCTGATCTTATAATTTTGTCAGAATTGAGCTAAGTTAGTGTTACTTGGGGTTTTGGCTCTGTCTAGAATAATGGCCTTAGAAATCAAAGCTCATACATAGTATAGCAGAAAAAAGATTTATGAAACCTGATCTGAGATTCCAAATCTGGCAGTAATTTACTCTGTGACTGTGTGAGTCAGTTACTCTCTCATGCCGCTAATATCCCCAACTCTCAGACAGTATTTAAGGAGCTTCCAGTGCCAAACTTCTCTGTCACTTTAACCCTGGGCCCAGAGGAAGAATTGAAAACATCCTTTCCCTGAGGACCAGATGGCTTTCTGTTTCCTTTCACAGATGCACCTGCTCTTTGTCTTCCTGGCCTGTGCTTTACTACGATGAGGATGATGAGTCTGGACAACAGCCATCTTGGAAGATTCTTATCTCTTCGGCACCGCAACCAGACTTAGCACATTACCCTGCACCTGGGACAGGAGGTGCTGTTAGTGGACTTTGGGTCTCTAGAAGAATGACCAAGAGGGTGTCTTTGTGTGAAAAAGGGAACTTGTTGGGAAAAGGGGCAGACCGTATGGAAATCTCTGAAATGCAAATTATCAACTCAAGACTTGTATTTCTCTTGAAGCAGCATGAAGAGAGCAATTAACTTGGATAAAATCAAGGAAGTCTTTTGGAGGGGCAGGAGATTGCAGCCAAACCTGTATTTTTATCTAGGCTCCAGTTCTTACTGCTGCGAGAGTTGGGCTACGTACTCTGAGTGTGTTTACACTTAGCCAAAATGGGGATCATAATCCTAATTATGGAGTTGTAAAGATTAAGTGAGATGGCGTACTGAAAACGCTTTTGTTGAAGGCCCATATTTTTTTTTCTCCTGCAGGAATAAGAAGAAATAAGTTAAGGGAGATTATGGGTGCCATCTAAAAAAAGCCCAGAGCTCTAGACCAGAGGCTATGAAAAACTAAGCTTATTCTAATCCTTTGCAACACTGTTGTATCTCCTAGACATTAGATGAAAAGGCCCGTCAGCACCACCTGGAGGAGAACATGAGTAATGCATGGGAAAAGTTGATTCTCAGTTTAGAAAATGGGGAAAGTTTAATTTCTTACTTGTACAGCGTTCATTCATTCTGAAATACCTACTACGTTTCAGGTACAGGATGCAGCAATAAGGAAAACACAAAATTCCTGTTCCTGTGAAAGTCACACTCTAGTGGGAAAAGACGATCAGGTGTATAATCTGGATGAGGATAAGTGCAATGAAGAAAAGCAGGGAAAGTGGAAAAGAGAGCTGCTTTAGGTGGGTACTATGGGCCTCTCTGATAAAGGTACATTTTACTAGAGTCTTGATGGAGTTAAAGGTACATTTTATTAGAGTCTTGATGGAGTGAGAGAGAACCATGTGGATTTCTAGGGCAAGAACATACCAGACATGAAAAATAAGTATGAAGGTCCTTTGGTGGAGCATCCTTAGTCTGTTTAAACACACACACAGCATAGAGGCCTAAATGGCTGGAACAGAGTGGACCAAGGAGGAGAGTAGTAGATCAGGTTGAAGAGGTGGCTGAGGACAGGATTGTGTAGATTATCAAAACAACTCTGAAGACAATGACATTTTAGGTTACTCTGAGGCCAGGAAGAGAGGTAATCTTCAAAGCCAGACAGATGGGGTGTTGTGTTCAACTTTAAAAGTGGCTAAAACTGGGAGAAGACATGTCTGGTCACCAGTCCTACTTAGATGGGCCAATGGAAAGAAATTTGTGGAAGTGCTAAATGGGTACTTATTCATTCTGACCTCTTTCTAATGTACTGTCTTATACTCTAGAGGCTGGAAGGTTAAAACTACATGTCTCACACTTCCTTGAAACCAAGGTTCTAAATGTAATTTATTTTGCCAGATGCACAAACAAGGATATGGAAGGAGGAAGTGATTCAGGGCTCATCTTCAGCAACTTTGTTGTTCCTGCAAAAGTATAGAGCCCTTAGGTTTCCCTCCAGTGGTATTCCAATATCCATCAATAGTTGTGTGGATGTTGAAGGGACTCCTGATCCATAAATAACCGTCAGTGATACATGTTCTTGTAGTCAGCCTATGCTGGCCTCCTGGTTCCTCATCTTCCTGATGGCGGCAGAGGTAGTGGCTCCCATAGTGGACCGATCTGGGAGTCTTTCCTGGAGGTCCAGCCTAGAGCCCACTTGCCCAGCTTTCCAACTCCTTTGTAAGCACCTAATTTACGTGTATTGAATTCTTTTCTACTTAAAATAGGTGGAAGGGTTTTGTTTTCTGCAGTTACTGAACCCTAACTGATACAGTATTTGGTTCCAAATTTGGTTATAGACAATAGTCCCTCAAAGATGGGATTCTTGATTAGTTATGACTAAGTTGGATTTGAAGGAAATGAGAATCTAGTTGCCATTGAAAATGGTAAGGTAGTAGGCAAAGATGACTTACATCTGTGGTCACATTAAATGAGTTGTCTTTTGGATAAAAGACTTTGATAGACCAAGTGGCAGCCACAACAGACCATCGTGTAAGAAATGAAGACTTAAATGGTGGTGGCTTATGCTAGAGAGATTAAAGAAAGAAAATGAAAGCCTTAAGAGTTTAAAATTTTCAGCTCAAAGCTGTCTCTTGTAGCCACAAGGCTGATGTACATGAAAATCAAGGAGAGATTCTGGGTTGTTGAATTACGACATAAGTTAAATTCTTAGCTTACCAGTCTCTTATATAAAAGTTAGGATGTTGTTTAGGAAAGAGTAAGATGTGAAATGGGGACATGTGAGTAGATTTGGGTAAATCCTAGTGTTCTGAACCCACAGACTCCACTTAGCTTCTCTTACCAGCAGAAGCAGCCCTCCCTCCTCCCCCTGTTGATAGGGCTGGTCCTGTCCTCCCCCCGTTGATAGGGCTGGTCCTGTCTTCCCCCGTTGATAGGGCAACTTACCTGCGGTAGTTGCCTTGAAAGGGAAGGCTTTTGTGTCCCTTCTCATGTACTTCTCATGTCCCACCCACTACCCCTTATTGCTACCAAATCTGTGACTAGAGTCAGATCCCAGTATGCTTTAGAAAGGCAACCACAAAATCTGACCTGAGAGAAAGAAAGGTTACAGAATTGTGAGATTTTGCTAATTTGAATCAGCAGAAACCTGAGGAATGTGTGTGGACTGGATTCCAAAGGTATTAGACCAGGAAGAAAAGAACAATTTTATTTTCATTTGGGTTGAACTTATTAATATGGGCATTCTAGAGATTCTGGAATCAGTATACTGACTTTAGCAGCTAAGAGTAGCTCTTAGCTGGTTGGTTGGATGAAACCTGGACTTAACAGTGGTCTACACTCAAATTGAAATGCTAAAAATTCCTTAGTATAGCATTAGAAGATGAATCCAGAAACATGAAGATAGAAGTGTTGGTATAGATTTATCATATGTGTGACCTACTCATCTCCTAATTTTGCCCTCTAAAATTGCTCAGAGGACATTCCTTTCACAAAGGAATTGGAAAGTACATAGATAAAGGGAACACCTTACCTTGAAAGTGCTGTAATGTATATTCTCTATAGTCGGAAGTGAAGCTAAGAGATGCTGCCATTGAAATGGAATCCCTGATATCAGTAGGTATGACGGAGATCCTGGAGTGGCAGGGGCCAAGGGGCAGTACCAAGGCAACAGAGCAGGAATACTTGGTTTGTATACACAAAGCAAAACTCCAGGTCTGGCAAAGAGAGGCCTGTTTTAAGTCACCAAAATGGAGAGTTATGGACACTCACTAAATTCTCAGACCCAAAGCCCTTGAATAAAGGAATGCTGAGTACCCTGGAGAAAGCACCCAGCAATATTACCATAACTAAATTGTAAGTTTTCTAATCTTCCCCAAAGGAATCTTAAGTCAATTAACTATGTTCCTGTGCTTAGGGAAATGGAAATACCCAGGCCTTTAGCGAATACTTGGAAACTGACCCTAAGCCAGTACTAATCTCAAGGGACCTAAAAGGTCTTTGTGGACCACTAGTTAAAAATAGAAGACTTTGGGGCTTCCCTGGTGGCGCAGTGGTTGAGAGTCCGCCTGCCGATGCAGAGAATACGGGTTCGTGCCCCGGTCCGGGAAGATCCCACATGCCGCAGAGCGGCTGGGCCCATGAGCCATGGCCGCTGATCCTGCGCGTCCGGAGCCTGTGCTTCGCAACGGGAGAGGCCACAATAGTGAGAGGCCCGCGTACCAAAAAAAAAAAAAAAAAAAAAGCCTTTGGGGTGTTACGGGTTGAAAATTCATATGTTGGAGTCCTAATCCCCAGTACCTCAGAATGTTACCTTATTTGGAAATTGGGTTGTTGCAGAGGTAATTAAGATGAGGTTATACCAGAATAGGGTGAGCCCCTAATCCAATATGATTGGTGCCATATAAAAAGGGGAAATTTAGACAAAGAGTCACTCATACAGGGAGAATGCCATGTGAAGATGAAGGCAGAGATCGGGATGATGCAGCAGAAGCCAACGAATGCCAAAGATTGCCAGCAAACCATCAGAAGCTAGGGGAGAGGCATGGAACAGGTTCTCCCTTACAGCCCTCAGCAGGAACCAACCCTGTCAACACCTTGATCTTGGACTTCTAGTCTCCAGAACTGTGAGACAATAAATTTGTAATGCTTAAGCCAGCCAATTTGCAGTACTTTGTTATGGCACACCTAGCAAACTAATACACAGGGATCATGTAACTTAAAAGGAATCTTGGCCTGTATCTATCTCACATATTCATCCTGTGTGTGGTTATTTCCCAGTTCCTCTAAGCACAATTGTAATAGATGTATTTGGCACCTGGCAGAATCTTCACATTGACCGGTAGAGTGAAAGCTATTGTGGTAAGAAGAGCAGAGGAAAGCCCCTTGCACAGTCCTACACCAGAATCATAAGCCAGAAGAAATAGTGCATCCCTGAGGGCATGATAAATATTACCGCCACCATCCAAGACTGAGAAGTTCCACAGTGGTGATCCCTATCATATCTACATTTAAATTATTTGCCCGGTAGAAGGCTTGCCATGTAGCTGTTATTTCAGATATAATCACTTTGAAGCAAGTCAACACCTGCCCCAGCACCTGCAGCCGTGCAACTACTGGCCTGGAATCTGCTTTTTTTCTCTAGCCCAAATAGCAGAAAACATGAAAAGCAGATTACTTTTACCTGTCGAGGTCAACAGTACCACTTACTGTCCTCCCTCTGGGTGGTATCACCTCTCCAGCTCTGCTGAAATCTAATGCGCAGGCACATCAATCATTTCATATTTCCCAGAACATCACTTTGTATGTGATGGCATGTTTTTGGACATAATAAGCAAGAAGTAACAGGTATCTAAATGCCTTGGTAAAATACATGTGTTCTGGAGGATAGGAGATAGTCCCTGCGGAAGCTTAAGGGAACTTTCAGCTCCATGAAATTTTTCGGGATCCAGAGCAGGAGTCTGGAGGATGGCAGTTTATCTAAAGTGATCGATGAGCTGTTGCACTGTATACCCCCCACCACTAAGAAAAATCCTGAGCATTTGGTGGATTTCTTGATTTGGGAGGTAGCATACCCCGTTTGATTATGCTGCACTGACCTGTTTTCCAAGTAACCCACCAGGGCTACTAGCTTTGATGGGCCCAGAGAAAGAGAATGGTCACCAGTTGGTACAGGCTGCAATGTAAGCAGTTAGAATTTTATGACCTAGCAGATCCAGGGGTGTGCAAAATCCCTTGGCAACTGAGGCTACTGTACACACACTGTGGCAAACATCCATAAGAGAAAAACAGCACAGGGCCATCAGATTTCAGAGTCAAGTCAGGATATTTTTGGCAGTGGCAATTCTTTTGAGAAGCTGATGTTGGCTTACAGCTGAGCCCTGCTCCATGCTCTGGAGGGACCGGCTGGGCACTTAATATCAGATCAGAGCCCTCCCATCACAGAGAAGGCAGGGATTTGTCCTCACTGGAAAAGACACTCAAGATATGAATTGTTTCCATGTATGCCAAGCCTAAAATATTCATAAAGAATAAACTTTAAATGAGAAAAATAACAATTATCAAGGCAAAGACATCCATCCCCCCATTATTCTAAATTTGACTATATGTTCACTTTGAGAAACATAGTGCTTAAGAGGACAGACAACAGAGCCAGAATGCCTGAGCAGGAATTCTAACCCCACCATTTATTTAAGTAGCTTATGACCTTGGGCAAATTATTTAACCTTTCTGTCTCCGTTTCTTCATTTGGGACTATGAGGATTAAATGAATACATATGACAGTGCCTGGCCTGTAGTAAGAGCTATATGTATGAGCTAGCATCGTCCTTTTCATTTATTATTATCATGCTCATATCATCATCATTGTTACTGTCCATGAACTTACTGAATGTCTATTCATCATGTAGTATTCCACACAACACTGCCTCTCATCAAGTGAGGCAATGGGCTAAGACCCATGGATCATCCAAAGCAGCTGGCCTCACACAACAGTCAAATGGCGCTATTGGAAGACAGCATCTCATGCAGTGGAAGTTCTGTCCTATAGGATGAGGTATGTTCTGAAACAGTGACCTATATATAAGCCATTCACAAAAGTTTTGCTTCTTGCCCCTGTGACTTTGGTCTTTTGTTAGTTTAGAAGTCTCAATACCCAGAGGAGAAGTACTTCCACCAGGGCACATAACAATGAGTCCACTGAACTGGAAGTTTCTTGGCCAATTTGGGCTCCTCATCCACTGAACCAATAGCCTAAAAGGGGGCAGTTGTGTTAGATGGAGAGATTGATCCTGATTATCAAGGGAGATAGGTTTGTTGTTGCTCAATGGGGGCAGGAAGGAGTGTGCCTGGAACTTAAAGGGTGCTCTGGGCTACTTCTAGTACTGCTGTATGCAGGAGTCAAGGATAAAAGGCTATTCCAGGGAAGGCTTAATTCTTTTAGGAATGAAGATTTGGGTCACCACACCAGATAAAGAGCCTCATCCGGCTGAGATACTGGCTGTGAAAATGAACTTCATAAGTAGTAGAGAAAGATATTTATGAATATAAGTAATTCCTGAAAGGTGGAGAGATGAGGACTGTATTAGCGTTTCATATTTTTCCCTTGCTCTGATATGTATATATTTATAGATATCATCCCATTTCTTCCCCTCCCACATTTTCCCTAGTATCATAAGGTGTGTTGGTAAGTTGATCAGTTAATCATTAGGTTACAGGTTGTTGAGACACGATCGTAACTGAACTGGAATGAATATCACCCAGAGCTGGATACATGACTAATGAGATTTTGGATCTCTCCTTTTAGGGAGGGTGAAATTGGGTAGATGTGGTGAATTGCTTGTCAGCATCCATTCCAATCTCTTTCTCATAGTGCCAAGGCCAGAGTTAAATGCTACACTTCCCAGAATCCCTTGCAGTTAACATTCTGCATGCAAATTAGGGTTTATAAATTGCATCCGTTTATATAAGAGTTGGGAGGAGAAAATAAGACAAAGGCCATCTCCCAGCTGTGTGGTTGTTGCTTCATGTTTGTGGCAACCTTGAGTTACTTCAGCAGCATTCCAATGTCCAAGCACTAGTTTCATGAGGTTGAAAAGCAGTGGTGGCAGCAGCAGAGGTGGATTTCTGATCCCTGGTCCTTAGATTGCAGCCACATGGTGTGTGTGTTTTCTAACCATCTTATTTCTTTATGGAGATACAACTCACATAACATGAAATTCACCATTTTACTTTTTTTTTTTGGACGCACCGTGAGGCATGCAGGATCTTACTTCCCTGACTAGGGATCGAACCTGTGCCCCCATGCAGTGGAAGTGCAGAGTCTTAACCACTGGACTGCTAGGGAAGTCCTGAAATTCACCATTTTAAAGTGTGCAACTCAGTAAGTAGATTTTAGATATATTCACAAAGTTGTGCAACTATCACTACTGTCTAATTCCAGATGATTGCCATCACCGCCCCCCCGAAAGAAACCTATTATCAGTCAGTCGCATTTCCCCCCTCCCTCCAGCCCTGACAACCACTAATCTACTTTCTCTATGGAATTTACCTATTCTGGACATTTTGTATAATCATACAAAATGACTTTTGTATATGACCTCTTTCACTCGGCATAAGGTTTTCAAGGTTCATCCACGTTGTAGCATGTATCAGTACTTCATTTCTTTTTTTTTGGATGCATAATATTCCATTGAATATTGTAAGGATTTTGTATGGATATGTTACATTTTGTTTATCCATTCGTCAGTTGATGGATATTTAGATTGTTTCTACTTTTTGGCTATTGTGATTAATGCTGCTATGAATATTGGTATACAGATATCTTCAAGTCCCTGGTTTCAGTTCTTTTGGGTATATACCCCAGAAGTGGAGTTACTGGATCATATGGAAATTTTATGTTTAATTTTTTGAGGAACTACCATCCTCTTTCCATAGAGGCTATACCATTTTACCTACCAGCAATACACAAGGGTACCAATTTCTCCACATCCTTGTCAGCCCTTGCTATTGTGTCTTTTTCATTATAGTCATCCTACTGGGCATAAAGTGGTACCTCATTGTGGCTTTGATTTACATTTCCCTAATGACTAATGATGTTGAGCATCATTTTCATGTACTTTTTGGCTATTTGTATATCTTCTTTGAAGAAATATCTAGTCAAATCCTTTGCTCATTTTTAAATTGGGTTGCCTTTTTTATGGTTGAGTTATAAAGACTTCTTTATAGGTTCTGGTTATAAGTTCCTTAACAGATATATGATTTGCAAATACTTTCTCGCATTCCATGGGTTATCTTTTTACTTGGTGTGTTCTTTAATGCAAGAATTCTAGTAGCAGCCTCCTGACTCATCACCTTCATGATTGTGCCAGTTAGCAGCTATTCTGGGGTCTTGTTCTGGAAGTCATTCCTGGAGCCCACTCCTCCAGCCCTCCCAACTATTTTGTTTAAACCTCTGATTCCCTGTATCAAATCCTTTTCTGCTTAAAATAGAGTGGTTTCTGTTTCCTGCAACTGATCCCTGACTAGTAGACAGCACAGCTTGAAAACTTCGAGCAAGGATGTGTGACATGTCATTTTGCTAGAGCTGATGTGCAGCCCAACTATAATAATAACAAATTCCTGGA